TGGATGACAGATTTCACATGTAAAGCAATATGTTTTCCACAAGTAAAGCTTTATGACAATGACTTCATATATACATGGGAAGAAGAACCAACTCTATGGTCTGGATAAGAGCCTGCAGGGGTCCAGATTTCTATTTACACAAGTTATGAGTGAACAAACGGCAGGAATGTAGGAAGGATTGCATGATGCGGAATTCATATTTGAGCTGATATTTAACAAATGTGAATGAGTGAAAATGCCACATTGTGTCGTTTCTGTCAGTGCCAAAAATTACCTGAATAGTTGTTTCTACTTAGTTTATTTCTACGTCTTTCTATTATTGTTGATAATTCAAGTTATTTTTCATGATTTCATGCATTTTGTGTTGGTATGGCACACTGCTATAAACACTGTTAAATGACCAATGATTTGTCATTTAATTCCAAAGCAACCTATTGCTTGCCCCAAGGATAAAATTAAGGTGAAGCACTTGAAAACAAGTTCACCTTGAATTGATAACATAATGTGCAAGATATTTGTTTTTACTGTAGGTATAGTTCGAGTTAAGCAGATATTGTACACTTCAAGGACTCATCCATTCAGCCTAGTCCGTTTACGTCACAGATTATTTTATGGCACTTCACTGTTTTTGTGTCCTGCTTTTCTCTACATCACAATAACGTTGTACGGTGCTTGTTATGCAGAAGCTGAAGGAGAGGCAGAATGAGTGGTTATGGCTGTTTGTTTCCAGATTGTGACAAAATATCATTGAACGCTTAAGTCTAATCTATAGCAGCTTTAAAATGTTCGAAGATATTCCCTCCAGCAGCCGAGGCTGAGGGAGGCAACACTCATGCTACTGTGCAAATCAGGCTACATGACACGTTTCAAACAGGCTTCCCTTTGGAGAAGAAATAACCGGACCTTATTTGAACTAACTATCATTTAACTTTTCCAGGGTTTTATTTTTAAATGTGCAAATAAATCTGGGGAGGAGGAACTTAAAAAGCCGAACAACGACAAATTCACTTGTGCACGATAATAACTACAACCACTTAGAACTAGGCCTATTGTACATTACAACAATGATCTTCTATTGTTTGCTATTAGACACAATGCAATATTGTTCAAACAAACTGGATAGCATATCATATCCTGATCGACAGAAAGATGCAGTGGTTAATCGTTAGAAAGGATGATGTTAGTGTATTGAACCAATACACGATGCACGGAGACTACAACAAAGAGAAAATGTGAGTGAGAGGGTGAGAGATAAGAGGTGAGGAGAAGCCAGATAATGAAGTCGATACAGCAGAGAGGGCGGGAATGAAGAAGCATTAAAAGGCGGAGGAGGCTTCTACTGTAGGAGCTACAATGATGATGGCAGCCAGGGGTGCAGGAAGCTATCTATGGCAACAGTGTTGATTGCAGTTATGCTATTCCAGTCTATAATCCAGTGTTACAGCTTCTACTTGGAGGGGGGAGGGGCCGCCTACAAGTCGATGAGCTGGTCCACCAGCAGCAGGGAGCGGGCCAGGCTGGGCAGGCTGGATTCAGAGCCGCCACTGTTACTGCGCGAGTGGCCTCCTGAAACTGGCCGGACAGACAAGGGGGGGGGAGTACGGGCAAACAAGAGGGGAGGAGAAGCAGAGGAGTGGGATTCACAACAAGCAGTCAGAGAAGAGAGGGCGAAGAGGTTTAGAAAGAGAGAGGAGAGAAAAAAGAGGGCAGAATTTACCCATGTAACTCTACTGGTTTTCAAACATTCTCAAGTGAGGATGTAGAAATAGTGCAGGCACCTGATCAGTTGGTCAGTAGGTCAGTAATTATTAAGCAAATTAGCATGCCACTGAACCCTAAAAACACCCCCGGGTGCGTCTTTAATCCTAAAAACCATCTTGAACCCGCCTGTGCCTCCTTGCAGAGACTGTAAAGACTTACCTTGGGAGTTCTTTCGCCCTGTGACGGGAATAGGATCAAACTCATCCTCTGTGCCGACATCTCCACTGACTTGTTGGGGCTCAAAGTCCGAGATCAGGAGAGACGAGTCTGCAGAGATGAGAAGAAAAACGATAACAAAAAGAAGCACATATAATTTGGGCTAAAATTATTTAACCACCATGATCAAAATGTGATAAATCAGCCCACTGCTCTCCCGCAGTAAAAGAGCTGTTTGGTAAGATTTTATGAGCAGAGATTAGTCCTAATTAGGATCATGCAGCTGCTGCACACATTCAGGCTGTGATTAGGAGTTGGCCCTGTCAACCACAGTTAAATGCCTTCATTCACCACACACAGAACAAATAAGTCAGCAGCAGCTGCGCAGCTCTTGGTTTGGGACACACAATATGGTTTCACAGACGATTCCCTTCAAGATAAGAATTTTCCTCTAATGTCAAATGATTACGACGTTATGAAGGGAAACATAACTCAGAGTGTGAAGATGAATTTGTTAAGATGAGGTGGAAATGCGTCTGCTGCCACCCAGTGGTAGAAATTTACAGACAGTGACAATGTTAAGATCTCCAGCAACAGTAGATGGTTTTGGAAGTTGAGGTCTTCCTTCTCTCTAGTGTTGAAAAAAGCTTTAAGTCCAAAATGCCATCCAACCATTATCCCTATCGCTTATCCTTTACAGGGTGGCTGGGAGACCTAGACCATACAGAGGCAGACATTTCATGCTCACATTCACACTTAGAGACAATTTAGAGTCAGTGGGAGGAAGCCGGACCACCTGGAGAAAACCTACGCAGACATGAAGGGGACATGCAAACTCTAAACAGAAACACCCCAGAAAGAAGAGAGATCCCTCTTGCCGTGATCTCAAAGTGCTCACCACTGAACCACCATGCTGCCCTCCAACTAATATTACATTGAATAATTCCAGCTACAGTCAAAAACCAGAAATCTATAATTAGTTTGATGTGGCACCTCCTAGTTTAGGATTAATTCACTGGATCACAGATAGAGAACTTATTCTCCCACGAGTATGTAAGATTCTTTATGGTGAACCACAATGTTTCTGTTGTCATAGAAACATGTCATCCTAATGCACATTTCTTAATCATTTGTATTCTTCCTGTTTTCTTCTATTACCCTCTGACCGAAATTGACCAACTGCTGAATTGCTGTGACCAACACTTCTTTGTGTAAGAAAAATAAATATGCAGACATCAAGTCCCCAGCAACTCATTCAATGTCCAAGGACATGTCGTGAAGAGAAGACCTGAAAGACGTCAAGATGCGTCTCAAGGTAACTCAGCATTAGCTTGTAAAAGATGAAAATCTTATGAATTTTAATGCTTTTCTGAGTCTATCTGCTGATGTTGAATAAAACATACTGAGACCCTGACATGACTTTGCTCTTTATTTAACAAAAATTGCCACCACAAACATTTATCAGGCCACATTGGATCTTAGTTGTTCATGATGTTGCTGTAAATTTCACACTCTCCGTGTTCAGGGAGCTCACCGCCTACTTCTGCCACATTCTTCCACCTTACCTGCTTTCGGCTGTGTGGAGTCTCCAGACAACAGACTGAAATCATCCAGAACAGAGGCAGCGGAGGTGGGGGCTGAGGATACGGAGGAGGTGGCGCTGCTCGCTGCTGGGGGGGCGGACGGAGCAGAGATCAGGGAGCAGCCCAGGAGAGAATCGTCTGCAGTGAGGGAGTCTGGGTCAGGAGAGGGTAAAAGTAAAAAGAGGAGAGATTAAAGTTTAATTATGGATTAGGACACTGATACATATACTCTTATGTTCCTTCAACTACTTGCAAATGATAATATTTTTAGATTCACTCAGCCAAGTGCTCTGTAGTAACAAGATAAATGCCCATAGAACATTTAAGAGCACAAACCTTTCGCAGACTCTTCAACTGACCCACCGAAGGGATCAGACAATGACAAGAGGTCAGGCAGCATGAGTGAAGATGTGTCGGGAGATTTGAGTCCTTCAATCAGCTTCTCTAAAGGCCGGTGATTAAAGAGAGAAATGGTTAGAATGTATACTTGACCCAATCAGCTTAATAAAACATGGTGAGACCATAAAAAACAGCAGAGTACAGGGTAAAAGACTGTGTTCTTTGTCTAGTCGAGGTCAAGTAAGAATTTACTGATTTCCCAGAGCAGCAGACGAGAAAGAAAGACGTTGAAAAAACTTTGTGTGACGTTTGGTTTGGCGCCAGACAGGGTGCTCATCTATATAATGTTTAGATCAAGTACTTCAGCAATCATCATTTATTCATGTCATCATCCATATTTTATTGTTATTCATTTCACTAAGAATATTTTAGGACAACCAGCACATTATTTTTTCAGATGTTCAAGACATAAAGATTTCTTAAATAGTGTGTCTGGATTTCTTTCTAGAAGACGAGAGCTTTTCATGAATGAGACAGTAACAACTAAAATACAGCATGCATCCACCAGCAGAGAGAATGTTTACCTGGTGCATCTAACAGCTCGAGGGTACAGAAAGGATCTGGTGCAGCCAACAGTGAAGCTCCTGAATCTACGATGGCTGATGGTCTTTCAACTGTTAAACAAAACAACGTTATACAACAAAGATTTGAAATCAAAATAATGAACCTAATATAAATACATTAAAGGAGGGAGCTTGTCGTTTCATTGGTTGATTTCAATACAAATGGTTTAAAAGTGTGAGCTTATAAGCTGCTGGCAATAGCATCATATATAATGTACGACAGAGGATTCATGCAACTCTTGGGTAGAAAGTGAATGAAGTGTGTTTCAGGAAATGTGAAACTCTTCTTTAAATGAATCAGACAGACCAACTGAGGCAAACTCAAAACTCTCCCACATTTATTTCAACAGCTTGAGACTCAAAGCGACAGTATTACCTAGTTCTGTATATGAGCAAATCAATTCTTGCATTTGTCTGTCTTGTTAAAAGCAGCTCTTAAACCATGAGTGGAGACATTTCCTGGGCAACAACTCTCAAAACATTAAGAGTCATTTTAATATCGAGTTTGTTTCACTCAGACCAAACCCCTCCTTTTATTTATATGATGCACACTGTGGATCATCATAGGAAGCTATCACTTTTGAAAGGTCCGTAAAAGCAGATTCATGGATCGGGTGCAGGTATACTTCTTGGTTTGACATAAGATTACATTCCTTCAGACGTATACATTAAAATACATTACCCAGCATCATAACAGCAGTTATGAAGACATATTACCATCAATCTATAAATGAATCAGTCTTTATGTTTGCTTCATTTAATGTCCACAAACTAGCATGCTACCTCAAGCTAACAGCTGCCTGTTGAAGTTGTTTTCAATTTCAAAAACGGTTGGAACAAAACACTTTGTTTAGTTTAACACATATTTTATGTTTAATGTTAGAACTAGACTGGATAGACAACGTTTAAGTTTCTGTTTTGAATGTGTTTTTCTTCAAAGTTTGGAATGAAAGTGTTAAATGATTTGAAGATGTAACTTTGTTATGATGAAAGTGAAGGGCCCTCGGAGCTTTGTGGGTCCTGGTCCGTGTAAAAATAAAGAAAAGAACAAAAACATAGACTCTAAAGGGAAAACTGTAACATACTTGTTTCTTGGGATTCGTTTTCCACAGTTGAGGCCTGCAGGCCTGGTATCAACTCTTCAGAAGATGATGCCTCAGTTTCTGAAGGTAGGTCTAGTAAAAACATAAAGAAGTTATAACATATCATCTTTGTTAGCTATTGAAAATAATACTAATCTATCAACACAAACTTTACCATTGGGCTTTTTGTCTTCCGATTTTAATTCCTCAGCAGCAAGGTTGGAGAAGTTGTTGGAGAAGTTGTCATCATCGAAGGGATTCCACGCCGCCTGTGTCGGAGTGATGGTTGCAGCACCGGTGGCAGGAGCAGTGGGTCCAGCTTTGCTTTGGTCCTGGACTCCGTCTCCAGCACCGGGGTGAACATGCTGGGTGGTGCTTGGTTGAGATATGAGTGATCTGAAGAGACAAATGCATAAAGATAAAACACACGAGAGAAAACCACAATTTGAACTCATTTTCCAGAAAATATGTCACTTACTGGTTGAGAGCAGCATCTCCATTAGCTCCCTGCAGCTGCTGAGAGTCACTAACTGGAGCTGCAGCGATGCTACTTGCTGTGGCGTCACTCGGGACGCGTTGGTGCCCTCGCTCTTCAGTTGTCTTTGGAGAAGCAGGTGGGGTCTGATCAAAAGGAGCGTGCAGTGAAGGCAAAACACATGAGATTAGAATAAAAAACAACCAAAATAAAACCTACAGTGTGTTAACGCTGTAATGATGATATTAAAGCTGGTGATGGTGAACAGCAGCCCACTCACCGTCTCGGCTGATTTTTGGCTGATCTCAGTGGAGGCAGCTGATGGCTGAGATACAGGTGGCTGAGCAGAGGCCGGTTTGCTGGGCGATGGCTGAGCCGCCGGCTGCTGAGGCTGGCTACCCTGCTTGCGTCGAGCTGGACGCTGAGGCGGGGCCGGGCTGGATGGAGTCACTGCTGCCTGCTGGGAGGAGGAGCTCACCACAGAGGGAGGTGTGGTCTGCTGCTGGACTGTTGGCTGAGCTTGAGATTGGACGTCACTCTTGGTCACTGGTGATACTACTGCTACTGGGGGGGTCTCTGCTGCTGTAGCTGCGGCTGGCTGCACGGCCTGTCACAGACAATGTAATCCGTCATCACGTTAAACATCACATCTGCAAAGCATTGGCACGAGAGGAAGAACTTTGTGCTACTGCTCAAAAAAGCAGCCTTGAACTTATATGTATCAGGCTGATTCTAATATTTATTTAATTACTGATTAACTTGTAATTTGTTGTAACAATAAATTGATTAATAATCATCGTCAATCAATCAAGACAGAAAATAGAGGCAATTTCCCAAAAAACAAAACTGAGGAAAACTGTAGAAAAATAAGGTTTTGTATAATTTAGTATCTTTAGGAAGCTCCTCCGTGTATTTAGAGAGTATGTACCTGTTTCTGCGGAGCCACAGTCTGACCGGAGTTGTTTTGCGACTGGATGAGAGGCAGAGCTGAAGTCTGCGCCTTCTGTGACTGCAGAGCTGCAGCAGGCTGAGAGAGGTTTAAGCTAACTCCTGTGGGATGTTGAAAAGAGCTCATTAATATGTTCTATCTTAATACTACATACGCAGAACAATGTTCATTTCAAACTAAATGTATTAAAGAGGATCAGAGAATCTGATAAACACTGAGAATCCAAGTTATTTGGAACAGATACAAAGCTGAAGTGAAACAGTATCTGAAGTGACAGAGTGGAGAAATTTCATGATCACTTGAGGCCTGTGGTTAGATTGCATTAATTTACACAAGTCTTAACCTGCGTGCTTAATCTCTTACTGTTGAGACTTGTAGGATTGAGTGTGTGGACAGAGGATTAGAGGGATTCTTGTCTTTGTCAAAATCTTCGTTTCTCTTATACACGTACCGACGGGCTGAGCTGCACCACCGGGGATATTAGCCCGTTTGCGCGGGGTGAGAGCAGCAGGCTGGATGGGTAGAATGCCTGCAGCGGGCTGGGTGTGGGCTGCTTTGGGCCTCTGGCGAGGGGTGATGGAGGTTTCAGTGGTGGGAATAGGATCTGTCAGTCTGGTAACAAAGGAGGATATTGGCTTTCGTGTTAATGATGGCAAACAGTGTGAACATAATTGTTTAATGAGTATCAGAATACTGGTTGCACCTAATTACTTCCACAAATGTAGAGTTACTACAGCTTTGATAGGAATACAATGTAAGCAGCTCATGCTTGCCTGGGCTTAGTCTGGCTCTTCTTTGCTGCCGCAGCCTCACTCGCTTTGATTGGCTCAGGAAGTTTAGAGGGAATTTGAGAATTCTGGAATATGGTGAAGAAAATGACAATAAATGCAGGATTTTACAATAAAACTTTAAGTTGGCAGATATTGTGTATGCAACTGATGATTTAATGCAGATTTTCCTCCCACAGCGTGACAACAAACATGTTTGTTAATGTAGGTCAGGCAAAGAAACCCATCGCAGATTCCACTGAAAATCAATTCCTCATGAGAGAAAGCCAGAAAGCCAAATATTTCAGCTGACCCCAGTACTGACGGAAACTGACCTTCACATTCTGAACAGGGCAGGTCCGCTGAGCTAGTTTAAAAGCAAAGTGGGACACCTGGTAGATATCTGGTCTTTTGTCTGGGTCTGGCTCCAGCGTGTATCCTAAAAAAGCACCACAAAGAAAGATGGGTCAGACAAAGACATTTACACAAGTGCATGCTTTTGTGAAAATTGATATTTATAACGTGAAGTGACGTTAAAGAGACACTGACTAATGAGGCAGTGAAGATCGTAAGAGTAGCGAGAGTTATCTGGAATGGTGAAGCTGCCATCGCAGATGGCCACCTGGCTTTCACCAAAGGGCAGAGTGAAGAAGCACAGCTTGTACAGCAAACAACCCAGTGCCTGGAGAAGACAATCACAAGCATGCCCCACCACACCAAAAACACAAACAGAGAGGAGAGGAGTTTAAACAAGAATATCAATCAAGTCACACAAAAAATCTTTTTCCCCTCGAAACCACACCAGCAGGCAGAATGTTATACAACTATTCAGAAATGCAACAACAAATATTTTCATTCTTTAAGTAAGACCAATCCCTAAATCTCATACAACTGCTACCTAACAAGCCTGTAACTTTAATATATTAATAACAAGCTAGATGTCATAGAACAAGATGTCAATGCTTTCTACTGTAAAACATCCAGTACCCATGCAAATAAGGTATAAGTTAAAAAAACATAGACTATAATCATCAAATTGTATTATTATCTTTAACTCAAATTGAGGCTTTGTTTTACTTAATACATACTGTACGAGTTACTGCAGTGCTGTATTTTCTCTCTCTTTATATATATAAATATATTTATGCACTTCTATCAGGATTACTGTCCTCTTCACTCACCCAGATATCTGCTTTTGTGGTGATAATCTTGTTGTTGTACAGGTTAACCATTTCAGGGGCACGATATGATAAAGTGGTGTATCTGAAAGAGGACAACAAGAAATTAGTAAGAAACCTGTCTGGTTTTGAAATCAGCCTACATATGTTCAATAAATAAAACGAGTGCTAATGAATGAAAGCTGCAGATGTAGACAAAACAGGTGAAAAGATGCACAAACTTTTTGATCTCTTCCTCCACCACAGCAACTCCTTCAGTCTGCGGACTCTGGAACTTGTTAGTGGCACTGCCGAAGTCACACAGCACATAATGACCCTTGTCATGCAGGAGGATGTTCTCCACCTGTAGATATACAAGAGATGAGACTCTCACAGCCAAGTGTAGCTGCTTTCAGTTAACTCAGCAGATATACAGGTAATATAACTGGTTTGGACTTTTAAATGTCAGAGGGTGTTGCAATAACTGACCTGCTCTGCAAAGTCAAATACCTCTGCAACAAACGCACCTTGAATATAAATATTGAAGTGCAGCCACCTTCATATAATGAAATGCAGATTTAGTCAAAGCTGGCTTGGTCATGCTCTACACTATCAACTTTAAGACTTTTTAAATGTAAAGAAGAAATCCAAATGTTTCCATCTGGATTATAACTACTGAGTGACAGTAACTTCAAATGAATGCGACAGCCACACTGCAGTTGACTGAGCTCTTCAGCATTTTGACAACTGCCCCTCTCTTCTGTTGCAGAAGATCCATAATTTAACACAAACAAATCAACCCTGATTCTTCAAAAGACCTCACAGCAGGGTAATCTGCAGGTGGTGGTTTTCCCCCCTTGTTACCAGGGATTGGACAACCTGTCTGCAGATCGGAGCTCTACACGGTACTAAGGTGGCAAAATGTGTCACCTTAAGGTCTCTGTGGATGATTGGCGTCTTGCGCTGGTGCAGACGAGAAACGGCATCGCATGTGTCACAGAAGATCTGCAGCACTTCAGCCTCGGTGAAGCCAGTCTGCAGCCTCTGATTCATCAAATTGACCACCTGCCCTCCTGCAAAATAAAATCCAATTATACAGCAGCACAAACAACATGGATGATTAAGCTGACAGGTATACGATTGATTTTAAACTTCTGTAACACAAATTCAATTCATATTACAAAAATAAAAGTATGTGGCTGCAGCTTCATCACCTTTGCAATAGTCCATTAGTATGAGGACCTCCCATACATCCCTTGATCCCATAGCTGTGATATTGGAGTCCAGATAACCAACAATATTCTTGTTACCAACAAGGTCTTTCTGCAAGAACACAAGTTCAAGAGCGTTAACACAAAACTGTGCCTAAAGTAAGCAACAAAACTGGCAACTGCTGTAAGTGGCTGAATTGTGTGCTTGTACTTTATGACTGGTGAAGTGGATGCTTTGGGTATAGAAGTCTAACTGACACAATTTTGTACTCTGAATAAATCAGGCATAATAGTGTGATACAAAGATTTTTGACACAAGGTGGGGTAGGGAAGAAATATTTCCATGTCTTGTTGCAAAATATGTAATTTTAATGTTGTTAGACAGTAATTCAGTGTGTTCAGTGTGAGTAGAATGATGCAGTTTAAGGTAATTCAAAACAGGAATGGATTAGGTAATGAAAAACCTCTGAGGTCAAGGTCTGTCAATCTATACCTGCCTTAGTGTGTGTGTGTGTGTGTGTGTGTGTGTGTGTGTATGTAAGTGTGTGTGAAAGTGAGTGAGAGAGAGACTGAAGTAAGTGAATAACAAGTGACATCATCTTCCAACGAAATGTCAGTGTTGGTTTCCAAAAAGAACAAGTTGTTATGAAGTGCTGTTTGTCATTTTGTTCAAAGTTTATACAAGCCACTTTAAATAATCTGACCATAAATCACTTCCTTCCTTCCTGAGGATTGCTTGAGATAGTAAAGATTGAATTGTGTGTACAGACCCTGAATTCAGTGAACGATTTATAAAGCCTCCTGATAGAAAAATGACATTTTGTTTTAGGCTACCATGACAAACCTGTCTATTTATAGACTAAATAAATCCCAATTCTGCTCTTGGTCAAGCAGTCTGATGGAGTCAGAACAGTCTCCTTCTACCAGCATATGACAGTGAATGTATACCTGGGATTTGCTCAGTTCAGTTTTATGTTATGTTAGCCAACAGGCATCATTTATTATACATTTCTCAAAGGGGGAAGACTTCAACTTTGAGAACAGAACAATGAATGCTGAAAAATAAAGTACTATGTAGTCTGTATAAGAATTCGCGTCCAACTCCAAACTCTGAAACCCATCTCAGGAGGGGAGAGCAGAACATGCAAAACAATTCTGTGTAAACAAAAGCAAAGTTCACCAAGAACCAGATGAATAAATACAGAACCATCCCAACAACACGGCTGCAGGCTGACTGTGTACTGAATCCAGTAATTCAGGACGGAGTAAGATAGCTTCCCTTTGTGGATTTTTTGGGACATTTGCAGGTACAATTTTTAAAAAGCAGTCAGTTATGTTGTTGCCTTCATGTGTGTTTTTTACCCAGCATTCAAAACTCCACAAGCTCAAAGTGAGAACAAGCTGATAAATGTTTAGTCACGGCAACTCACCATTATTTGAATCTCGAGTTTGCACACCTGCAGATCATGCTCATTGTTGACATACATCCTCTTCAGCGCACAACGCACCCCTTGATTTGTTCGCACTAGGAACACAATGGCAAAACCACCTGCAGGATTGAGGAAAGAGACCAAATTACAGTGTCAGTCTTCAAAGAGAGAGTAGACAAACTATAATCTATAACTATAATCACTCTCACAAGCTTTGTTAAGGAATTATGATTTTGGACATAAAGCAGACATATTCTTTTTTTTCTCTCACGATATAAATTTATGGAACTGTTGCAATTTGTATCTGTGCTTTTGCATCAATATGGACGAGCAGGACCAAATGTTGCAGCCTTATAGTGTCATGTATTAGTCATGTCATTGCTGCAGGGTTTATGAAGAGGCCTACATTGAGGCCTAACCATCTGGTATAGCTCAGACTGCACTCAAATTCACTTTAGCTGTGACCGAGTGACTTCAGTTTCGGGCCGGACAATGCTGCTTATGCTGCACGTGAGATACATATTGTACAGCACTGTGGCATCGTGATCGCTCTATAAAAATACCTCGTGCAAGTTGAGGGTTTGCTCCAACTTCTGACGAGAATGTCTCAGGTCATTTCAGTAAGTGTAGACAATCTGATCAACTGTACAATACTGTCTTCCTGCATCATTTTAAATGTGGGCGCTGGCTTTGAAAGTCTTCACTAGCTGGCAGCATGACACACTGATTAATACTGTGGGGCAGACATAATTACCACAGTATGTGGTTGGGAAAAATATGAACGGATGGGGTGGCTCATGTAAAATCAATAGTCAATAGTGTTAAGGAATGAGGTCGGTCTTCATCTTCATGAAACATACTTCTGCATCATAAAATCAGCTCAGATGAAGTTCAATTCAATTTGKATAGTGCCAAATCATAACATACACCATCTCAAGGCACATAGAAGGTCCAGATCTTCAACAATTATAGAGAAACCCATCAGTTCCCACAATGAGAAGCACTTTGGAGACTGAGGAGAGAAAAAAAAAACCTCAAGCTGAACCAGACTCAGCGTGGGCAGCCATCAGCCTCGACCGGTTGGGGTGAGCGGAGAATAATGGGAAGGAGAGAAGAGATGGGTAGACAAGAGGTAGGAGAAGAGAGAGACAGAGAGGGGAAGTGGAGGTGGGGAAGGAGGAGAGAGAAACTGCTGTGTTACTCAGAGGGAAAGCTAGCAGACAGCAGCAGGCCCCTGTTCTGCATCTAGGATACACAGGGGGCAGATGCAAAGCTGCATCCTTCCTGTGGGGATGGTATAAGGTTACATCCCTGCGCTGTCATGTGACTCTTGTGTGTATTTACCTCGAGCATGAAGCACACATCATCATCATCATCATCATCATCACCCTCCTCCTGCAACATGCATGAAAACAACGGGCATCATCTGCTCTGTGCAAACCTCTCTCTCACCTTCAGCAACAATCTCCTCAACAGTGACTTGGTGTCTTCCCACAGTGAAGGCTCGTCCAATGAAATTTCCGCCTGCGTGACTGGACCCGGAGCCGCCGCCGCCTCCTCCACCGGAACCAGGCCCGGAGCTGACCAACTCCCGACGGGAATCGAAGAACTTCCTCATGGTGTCCAAAACGACACACACACTCACTCACTCACACACACACAGCAGATGGCGAGCTGCTAGTTTCTCCGTGCACAGAATGATTGCACTCACGCACACTGTGAACCTATAACGAGTCTATTTGCAGCCTGAAAACACGCACTGCCCCCCCACCCCCTCTTTTCTTTCTCCTCTTATGCTGATGTGGAGGTTTTTTGGTGGCGAATTTCCCATTCGCTCGCCAACACGAGCCAGTCGGTGATGTAGCTGGAGCGGCTGGAGCTGTTATGTAAGGAGTGAATTACACCACCCGGGGGAGGCTAAAGCATCTCCGGGAGAAAAGTCCTGTTCCTTAGCTATCCATGCAGCAGCAGCCGCCCGTGGTCGGAGGATACCGATGGGAACATTGGGTCCGTCTCCATCCCCGTCCAAACCGAGCTAGCTACGTGCTAGCTACTTACGCGCTATGACATTTCGCGTGTAAGGTTATCCAGGTTACCCTCTGAAGATAGCGGCTCCGGGTGCGATGTGTCCGACGTGTAACTTCAACGATAGCGTCGCCCGGAAAAAATCTTTCCATCCTCATTCAACTGGAGCCGCCGCTAGTTGCCACACATCTGCCCGTGTGGCTATTTAATTCCCTCCATTAGCGATTAAACTCTGATTTTTTTATTCATCCCCCCCCCTTTCCCCAGCTAGCTAACGCATTAGCGCGGTGCAGCGGCTCTCCTAGAACCCGGGGCCGCAGTTTCGACAGGAACCCGAAGCCTCCGTGTGTCCGTGCGACGGATTTGACATGTACCAAAACACGAGAGCGAGGTTTTCAGCCCAGCAGCAGAATCTCTGCAGCCTCCTTTGGCTGCCGGAGAGATCGCAGCATCCTAGCTGTTGCTGTTGATGCGCGCACGGGAGTGTGGGTAATGTAGTTCCACAGCGCAACTGCAGCCTCAAATCTGAGGTTGGATTAATGATGTGTTAAAGGTCCAGTGTGTAAGATTTAGGTGAAAGGGGATCCATTGGCAGTAATTCATTATATAAAATAATCCTAGTGATGTTTTCACTGATGTGTTTCATCTACATTGTAGGAATTGTTGTTTTTCTTCACCGGAGAATGGGGCCTTTATATTTAAACTACTTTTATTTACATCAGGAGCAGGTCCTCTCTACGGAGGCCGCCATGTTTTTTACAGTAGCTCAGAATGGAAATGCAACTTCTCTTCACTAAATCCTACACACTGGACCTTTAAACTAATAAGAAAATACCAAAATAAATATGAAATCATTCATATGATCAAATATAATTATAACTTCCCATG